GGTCTAATTTTCTTCCGAAAATACCCTCAATTAATTATCTATTTTCATTTAATTTCTTTATATAGTGCGATTCTATAAAACTTTTAATGTATTTTATAAATATGTAATTTAAAAAATAATCTTATTATTGAAAGAGATCAGTTAATTTTATGGTCAGTCGATCATGGATTGTGTGACAACCATTTAAGTAGGGCAGATGGAGTATGTTTATTTAATTACTCCCTCCGGTTTTTAATAAACTTCACACTTTCCTTTTTGGGATGGTCTAAAATAAACTTCACACTTCCTTATTTCCTTTTTTAGCAAAGAAATCTACATCAAAACAGTGCCAAACAGTGCCGAACAGTGTCTCAACAGTGTCAAACAGTGTCTCTACAGTGCCAAACAGTGTCAAACAGTGCCTCAACCGTGTACTCTACAGTAAAGTCAAATTTCTTTCCTTATTTTGTGTGAAGTCAAACTGTGAAGATTAAAAAAAACCGGAGGTAGTATATTCGAATGTCTATTCTTGTTATTTTCATAATTCGTTTTCCTAAACATTTAAATTTTTTAAGGTATTTATTTTATAAGACTTATAGATTATTTAAGTTTTTGATGAGTGGATTTCAAAATTTAATGACAAAATTGATCATTTTTTCTCATATTTGAAAAGAAGTTTTATGAATAACTTGAACATTTTTTAAATTTAATTTTTTTGAAATAATAATAAATATACTTAGATTGAACAAAGTTTTTTTCACTTTTGAATTGGATCTACAACTTTTTACAATTAAACACAGTTTACTTAAAAATAAATCAATTTTTTTTGAACTCCAACTGAAAAATATATTAATTCACCAAATCATGTGCCAACAGGCTTACAATAGAATTAGGAATACTATCATACCAACTGAACTGATCTGAGATAGACACGTGTGCTCTTGCTAAAGTATGGGCAACACGATTCGCGGATCGTTTACAATAAGAGACACTAAAATTACTCTTATCTTGCAGCAAATGCCTAATATCATCCGGAATAAGGAAAAGGTAAGAAGAATCTCCTTCATCTTTTAAGGCATGGATCACCGAGAGAGCATCAGTTTCCACCTTTACATGCGACCATCCTGCCGCAGCCGCTCCCATCAACGCATCCCGAACACCCATAGCTTCTGTTTCCACCACTGACCAGCTAGCTGCTTTGGAGACCCTTTTTTCCTTCAAGAAATTTCCATAATGGTTCCATGCCACCCATCCCCAGGGTCTAGTACGTGTACTTTCATCCACCGCCCCATCCACATTAGTTTTTACAACACCCTCTCGCGAACGCTTCCAAGCTGTCAAGGAATTATTCTCTCCTAGCCGGATCTGTACTCTAAGAGCCTTGCGCATCTCTCCATCCCGAGATAATTCCTGTCGCTGAGTTGATAACACCCGCCGCTCCTTGCCATTTGTCCTTCCAGACACATCCATTTCTCCTCTTCCACAGACTCCATAAAATAGCTATAAACATGCATCGGTCTTCCCCATTCGGTCCACCGAGATGCCGCCAGAACCACGGATTTACCGACTCTGCCGGACTGCCCAGATCCACCCCCACCTTTCTCCAGACCTCTTTTGCTCTTTCACAAATCCGAAAAGCATGATCCGTATCCTCCACCACTCCACCACACACTTTACACCCTTCTAGAACCTGCACACCTCCTTTCCTCAAATTATCAACACGCTTACAATAGAATTAGGAATACTATCATACCAACTGAACTGATCCGAGATAGACACGTGTGCTCTTGCTAAAGTATGGGCAACACGATTCGCGGATCGTTTACAATAAGAGACACTAAAATTACTCTTATCTTGCAGCAAATGCCTAATATCATCCGGAATAAGGAAAAGGTAAGAAGAATCTCCTTCATCTTTTAAGGCATGGATCACCGAGAGAACATCAGTTTCCACCTCTACATGCGACCATCCTGCCGCAGCCGCTCCCATCAACGATAAAAATGTCAATATATTTATAGGCTTGTATTCATTTTTGCTATAATTTGTTTCCTCTTTGTTTTCTCCTAAGTTTGGTATGTTTGTACTCTTATGAAACTTAGAAAAGTACCTTATATAGAGAAGACTTCTATATAAGGTACTGGGCCGGGCCCACACAGTACCGGGCCGGGCCGGTTCCCGGGTCGGGTGGCCCGCACCGAGGCCATCACTAAGAGAAATACGATATCTAAATTCCACCAATTATTCTTACAAATCAACTTAGATGTAGTATTTTCCTTTTTTCGTTGTTAATATGGAGATATGAGTTCCTGCACTGGAAATAGGTGTGTGGAGTATTACTTCGTATTACTATTGCATTTAAACCTGGTGCAAATATGTGCTGGACAATTGTACTGATTATGCATGAGATGTAGAATACTGAAATAATCCTAAAATTAATCATAAACTAAAGGGAAAATTCCCGAAATAGGACTAAAAACGTTTGAAAATTCCAAAACAGGACTGCCATGTTTTTATTCCCAAAATAGGAGTAATTACTGCCAAGTTTGGAAAATACTGCCATCTTTAAAGCCTGGTACTGCCAAAACATGGCAGCAATTAGTCCTATTTTGGGAATAAAAATATGACAGTCCTATTTTGGAATTTTTAAACGTTTTTAGTCCTATTTAGGGTAATTTCCCTAAACTAAACTTGCATCACTTTATATGTGTCATTACAAAACAGTGCACAGGCAAAATCATTAGTAGGGATGGACTGGTTCCGGGTAAACCGGCCCGTGACCCGGCCCGATATCCGGGTCTTGGAACGGTCCAGGTAGCCCGAACCGGGGTTATGTTAGAGCGGGCTCCGGGTCTGCTAAAATAGGAACCGGCCGGGCCGGGTCTAGTTCGTTTCTTTTTTTTTTGTTTTTACAATTTTTTTTGTTTTTCCCGGATTGGGCTGAGTGTTTTTTTTTTTTGGGGGGGGGGGGGGTCAGGGTGAGGGGGGGGGGGTCGGGGTTAATTAGAAAAGCAAAAAAAAAAAAAATTGAACCGGCCCGACCCAGCCCCTGTGGAATCCCGAGCCGGTTCCGAGCCTTCCCCCAAAAATAAAAGGCCCGGTTTGGACTGGCCTGGAGCCGGGCCCGGCCCGGAACCGGTCCATGCCTTTCATTAGGATTAACGGATTGATTGGGATATGTAACTATAGCAGAAAATTGTATACATTCTACAATTTCTATTCTTTAGAAATAAGTACATGCCTATGCGTCTAGAAAGTCGTGGCCTCATGGGTAGGTAGATTAGCTACGTGTTTATATAATTACTAGCATTAGCACGCGCTTTGCGCGAGGGCGGATGCCCAATGGTAGAACATGGGCTGTGAAAAAGAGTAGAATATGCACAAAACAAGAACAAGTAGCAGATTAACATTTCAGACCATTCACCGGAATGCAGTTTTAAAAGTATTCATGGTTGTTTGTAGAGAACCATCAGTGAAACAAAATATAAGAAATAAGCAGTAGCACATCAGTAGAAAGGCAAACATTGTAGGGATTAAGTAGGCCCAGCAACGTTGGTGCATGGCAGGCTGCTAATTTCGTATGTATGTTTGTGGCGGAGGGGTTCCTCTATGCTACATGTGAGTGGAGTGAGAATGTATACAAAGAATGTTTGTGGAGTGAGAATGTATACAAAGAATAGTGCAATACTCGTAGAAGATGGGCTGTGAAAAAGAGCAGAATATCGAAAAAAGACAAGAACAAGAAATAGTAGATTAACGTTGTCAAATTGTGCATACTTCATAATTCACCTAAACTATTTTAACATCCTTAACCACCAAGATTGAGATAGTCAAATGCATAGCTATGCAAAAATTACTTGTGTACATTCATGTATGTAATACATAAACATGTAAACTTATGCCAAAAATGCAGTAAATATAGGTTATTTTAAACTCAACTCACCTAACCATCCATGTTTTCTATATTGGCTGCAGCACCATTGAGTGTTAAATATATCTAACAAAACAAAATCTCTTTGAGAACATAGATACCCAAGCACTCACTTGTTTAGCTGCAAAAAATGGAAAAGGAGTCAAGGTTTTCTTATTGGATGAATTTCTTAGATTTATAGTTGAAACATGGATGTAATTAACTATGGTCTCTAAAAATGCTAGGTAAAGGTTAAAAAAATGTTAGAGAAAGTTACTCTAACAAAATGTTAGACAAAGCCTAGAAAAATATAAGAATATTTTTTAGATTGCTACATCAGATTTTAGGGGGGGGATAATAATCAAAGATCAGAAAAACAAAACGGAGAGTAGAGGAAATTACCATCCCAGCGCCGAAAACTGCAAACAAAAACAACTGAAGCCAGTGGGTATCAAACATGTTCCTCTAGCTTCACACATGAGGAACCAGATGTGAAAAATTATAAACAAAGCAACAAAAGAAACGAGAAAAGGCAAGTTTTACGGATGAACTTGTGAGCCGATGCTTTTGTTTCTTATTCTTGTAACCTGCGTAGAGCCTTCAAAGTGTTCCTCATCGTCAGGAGGATAATGACCTGAAACAAAATTAGAAAAAAAAATTGTGTTTGTGTACGTGTCCTCAGAAAAGATTTCATCACAGGACGTGTCTGGGGTAAGTGTAGCATCTGCAATTGGTGGATCAGAGAGAAGCTCATCATCTCCAGTCTGGGTCGTACTGTCACTATTAAAGAAAAGATGGTCAATTCACTCGGTTACCGCCTTGTTACAGGTAGCCACCGGGGGTTCTTCACGTTCAAAGGCAACCTGATATGTGGCTGATGGTAGGCTGGTAGCAGCTGGGTATCTACGGAGGCAATCCCAGAAACTGCCACATTTACTATTTTCACAAACAAGTTGGCCAGAGGCCTCATATTTCCATCATAGTAGGCATTAATTGGGATTGCTGAGGCATCAAAAGTAAACACAACATCATAGATTGGGGGGGGGGGGGGTCTGGGAATTCCAAAACCGTAACATGGGCGTCATTAGGGACAAAAACTGTTACAGATGGGGCTGTAACAACAACATCAATAAGGGTATCAACATTAGGGGCTTTTTGGACTGGCAACATGTATTTCAGGGGTATCCCTGAATGAAAAGGCAACTATTGTGTCCTCACTCTGAGTGATATCAGTGGGTACTTTATAGGTATCAACCTGCACTGAATTGACACCGATATCATCCTGTAGTGAACAAGCAACAACCGGGGCCTCACTTTGAGGGAGATCAGAGACAACAGAAGTAAAAAGATCAACATCAGGGGCATATTGATCAGAAGCCACAAGAGCTTGAGTTGGGGCTAAAGAAAGTAGCAGTGTATTTAAGGTTAACTGTGGCACAATCTGTAAGGTTTGAGGCATCAACAGCATGAAGTAAACTGGTCTTAGTACCAGTCACTTCAGTATCCGGATCAACAGGGGGGGGGGGGTGAATGAGGTATCAACTGGGGCAGAAACAATCTCATTCGTAGCACAAAATAACCAAAGAGCACTTTAGTGGGAAGAATGCAAAAAAAAAAAACAGAAATTATTACTTAATCTGAAGCATCATAATTTAAAAGACCTTGTGTATATTCATGGAATGAAGAACCAATAGTAACTTCATCAAACAATAATCATGGCAATCATTATCAATATAAAAAGGATGCTCTCATTAATAAAGACCTGCAAAAAACGACAAAATATAAGCAGTTGTTAGAAAAAACGGGAAATTACACCTGGAGGTCATCTGAAATGACATGATGTTTGGATCCCTCTTGTTCCTTGGTATGCGGAAATTTCCATCACCTACTGGCATACAAAAAGATAAAACCTCCATTAAGCTATAAGACTTTATGCTCATCCACTGGAACATGATTGGCAGTTTTAGAGATGTACACAGGATTGGAGATTGTTAGATGCAAATATTTTCAGATTATTTATGAACCATTCTATTAAGAATGGAATCCTATTTTTAACTGTATATTAAGAATCTAATTTAAAACATTCTATTTAGAATCCAAATTAAAACTTTCTACTACGAAAGGGCTAAAAGAAATACAACAACAACAACATAAAAGCCTTATTCCCAAAAGATTTTGGGGTCGGTTAACATTAATCGATCCATGATATCGATGCCAAAAAGAGAAGACATACAAGAACAAAAAAAAAGATAAAGATAAATAAATATAAGATAACAATAGCATAAGAATATAAGAAAGATAAAAGATAAAAAGATAAAAGAGCATTAAAAAGCTAGAAGATAAAAATAACATAAGAACAAAAAAAAAGACAAAAGCAGGCAGTGAGGTAGCAAGATAAATTGAAAAGCTGTAGGTAACTTGTAAAAATGCTATAGGCATAAGGCATAGCACGTAACAGGCTACTTTAATTTTATGGAGTCCGAGTTGTTAAAAGAGAGCACGTTCTAAGATTATTAGGACTGCCAGATCCAAGCATGTAAGCAGCCAAAAGAGGGAAGTATACCTCTAAGTGCGGCCACTCAGTACTCCAAAGCATCTTGGACCGAAAACCCCAAGGCATTGGCATACTGATCAAGCGAATGCTTTTATTCTGATGAGAGTTTGGGATCAAAGGGTGACCAATTGCTTTCAGTACTTTTCTTCACTGATATTGCAACACATTGACAGATAAACCATGTGTGGGATAAGGGATCTCTTGCAATAAAATATATATACATCGAATTAGAAAAAAAACAGACAGACTGTTAAAATAAAATGCAAAGGTAACTTTAAGCACAACCATAAAAAAAGAAAAATACTTACCTCCTCTCCCTCAATGCTATTTGCATTTTGTTCCATCTGAAAGAGTTTCAATCGAATAACAGACGAAGTAGTGAGACTGATTGGATAGATGTAGTATATAACACAGTGTGCTTTATAACCTGATTGGATAAGAATAAGTAATGCACAAAAACAATAAGGTGAACAAAACAACACCTAGGTCCAACGATGTGAAGAGGAATAACATTCTCTAGTGTTGAGAGAATTACACGTAAATTTATCAGTTCACATGTTTATTCAATGATGTGATTTATGCTATTTTTGGCACAATGAGCTGAAGCTGGAGACTAATATTTGAATTGGAGGCTATTGTCTGAATCAAAGACTATTGTCTACAACTGAAACATAAAGTGTTGAATGTGAAATACTAGTTGAATAAAGTAGACCTGTTTGGCAAAAGTAGCTGGAATTGTGATCGGATAAATTAAAATTACAGTAAAGGACATATAATATATAAAGTGAAAATATTTATTATCATATTACGATATTTCTATATTTATTAGAATAGTACTAATATTTTATATAGTTTATAAATTTTGGTATATTACGATTGTAGTATTTCAAACCCCAAGGAATTGGCATGATCAAGCGAATGCTTTTATTCTGATGAGAGTTTGGGATCAAAGGGTGACCAATTGCTTTCAGTACTTTTCTTCACTGATATTGCAACACATTGACAGATAAACCATGTGTGGGATAAGGGATCTCTTGCAATAAAATATATATACATCGAATTAGAAAAAAAGAAAACAGACAGACTGTTAAAATAAAATGCAAAGGTAACTTTAAGCACAACCATAAAAAAAGAAAAATACTTACCTCCTCTCCCTCAATGCTATTTGCATTTTGTTCCATCTAAAAGAGTTTCAATCTAATAACAGACGAAGTAGTGAGACTGAATCTTGCCTTATTGTACGATTCAAGCGTATCAAATTAAGATCAATTTAACAATTTCCTATTCGTACAATCCTTCAAGTCAGAATACAGAAGTCAAAAGAAAAATCAAATTGATTTACCGTCTTTAATCAAATCCTTGAAGAGATGCTCTGTTGGTCTGTCGTTTCTCCAAATTAAACAAACCCCTCCCATATCAATTGAAAAATCAGATGTGAAACCTAAAACAGAGTAACACAAGAAACGAGAAAAGCCAAATTTCTACCAATGAACTTCAATGTAAACAGAGATGGTTTCGAGTTCTGACCAGGAAGATAGGACTGGACTTCCTGAGCTTGCAAGGCCGGAGGTGTGGAGCTACTCGCCGGTGGAAATCGCAACGGAGTACAGAGCAATGGCGGTGACTCTGCAACTAAGCAGCCATTGAAAGAAAAAGATCGAGCACGGGAGTGGAGAACGGATTTGGCTGACCTGAATGTTTTCCTAGCCACGACTGACGTGACTAAAGCTTGTATGCTTGAGATGCTTGAGGTTTGTATAGTGAGAATAGCATGGAGAATCGGCGGACGTAACCCTAACCTTGAATACGTCGAGCGAGAATAAGAAGTGAGAAGTTGGGGAAATTGAAGAATGGAAAATGAATTGGGGAAAGCGCAGAGGCTTTACTTCTAGCGGGAGAGAAGCAAACGGAGTTAGCAACGCCGGGACTGTAGTAACGTATAATTGCCCAACTTAACTCTCTTAGGCTCTTTATATATATAAGGATATTTGTTGTCTCATGTAAAGAAAATAGGTTTAAGGATTATTCCGTTTAGTCACAAAAAGAGACCAATACATAGCACATAAACAAGAGCTCACACCTCATAAGCTGCATAAATAATAAAATTAGTTAAACAAAGATTATTTCCCCTCCTAGTAAAAGAAAAATTCCAAAATATTACCAATGGAAAAGTGTTGGACAAAAAATCAAAAATATTACTACGTACTAAACAATATTAATTAATTGTGTAATGAGCCGTTTATTATTTTCCCTAATTGTCCCTCATAACTCATAAGTATGTATGCATTAACAAACATTTCATACTCCCCAATTACAACAAACATATACTTCGTATTTGTCATTCCATACTAAATTAACAAATAAGTTACTGCACCACTAGTAACTCCACAATTTTATTCATATTGGTGAATTTATAAGGCATACGTAGTTAACCATTAATATAAGTGTAAGTTACTAAAATAACACCAAGTTACTGCAGCAGTAGTTACTACCATACATCACACATCTCCTCTACTATACATTAGTTACTTAAACTAGACGATAAACCCGTGCGTTAGCACCGGAAATCTAGGAACCCTTTGGTGCTCCATATATGTTTACGGTTTATCAAACTTATCAACCATTTTAGTTTTTTCTCATATTTCGTATAATTTTTTCTGAGACAAAGGGATTATAAGTTTTTGAGATAACAAAAATAACGAATGTTAACAAAGTTTCATGAGACAGAGTAAGTGTAAGTTTTATGATTTTTAATTTATGAATGTGACTTTTCTAATTTGTAGTTACTAACTGTCACTGAGAAGTTGTTGTGTTCGTCATATTTTTATGAGAAAAATAATCAAAATACCTAAACTCTACAGAAGCGTGAGATAAACGCTCCAAACTTTCATATGTAATTTAAATACCCCAAATTTTATGTAAAATTTATTTAGGCAATATGGTCCGATCCTATATTATTCCTTTCAAAAATGTTATTTATGGTGTTAATTGCATAATTTAAAATAACAAATTAAAAATGTTGCAATTGTTCACTCTAGTGGGGGCATTATTATTTATTTTGCAATGGAAGTTTAGAATGTTAATTGTATTTTTTAGAATGCTAAAATATTTTAAATTGTGAAACTTACACAAAAAATTAACAATTTTGAAAGAAATAATACATGACTGGTGCTAAAAGAACTTTTTACATAAAGGTTGGGGTATTTAAACTATATATGCAAGTTTGGGGTGCTTAATTCACACTCCTTTTAAAGTTTGAGGTATTTTAATTACTTTACCTTATTCTTATTGCTTAATGTTTATTTTTATTTTATTCAGACCAGATCAAATAAGGGACAATTCAAGTTAGATCAAATCGGAAAAATTAAGTTCACATGAGAAAGATTTAGATGTATAGTTATAGTTATAACTATAATTACAGTTATAAATTTAATCACAATAATAGTGATGATAATAACAAAAATAACCACAGCAATAATAAACATTTAATTACATTAGCAATATTTAGATCTGAGTGAGATTGATTCAGATCAAATAAAAAAGATTCAAATTAGATATAAAAAAAAAGTTTCTGATCAACTCAAAAAAATCAGATCATATGAAATATTAAAAATTCAAATAAAAACATTCCTATCCGGCTAATTGAATAACCCCTAAGAGTAAGGATGACAATGGGGGCGGGGACCCGTGGGGAACCGCCCCGCGGGGGAAGGTTGGGGCGGGGCTTGGGGCGGGGTGGGGGCGGGGATGGGTGAGATATTTTTACGCCGTTAAAATATGGGGCGGGGATGGGTATAGCTACACCCGCCCCGTCCCCGCCCCGTCCCCGTTATAAATATATACTTAAACATGTATATCCACACACACACACACATATTTATATATAATTAATGTACACACATTAAATTAAATTATATGTAGTATATAACAAACGCATATACATATAGACATACATAATTGTATACGGTTTAATCATGATTAATGAATTAATACATATTATACTAGAATAATAATAAGCTAGTTAGTAATGATTAAAAATATTTATCATAAATGTTATATGAGTTTTAAGATTGAAAAAGTGAGTAAATAAATTCACACACATTTATATGTAATATAATATGTAATTAATTGTATAATAAGTGTTGAGAATTTTGAAACAACGTCATGATGATAATATGTTTACCTATATTTTTACTTTAATTGTCTTCAATTCACAAAACTTATTCAAAATGAAGAATTATTAAAATTGGTGGTATTAACTTTTAACAAACATAATACTTCGTGTTGCGCGTGTGTGTATCATATATTACTGTGTGCGCGTAGATATATATAGGTTTAGGATCAAATGAGAACAACGCTTAACGTGAGAACGTGCGAACACCACATTTACACCCAATGTGAAACACAATGGGCTTGCACAATGAACTTTTTCATATCTAGCATGATTTTTTCAAAAGTGCCACCGTGAATATTTATATTAGCTTGTATTGAGCAAAGTCCAAATGTGCACTAGAATGGCTCACATTGGATTATTGTGTATCACATTGGATTAAATATGAGTGTTCTCATGTTAAGCATCGTTCTCATTGAAATCACTCTGCACATATTTATAATAAGAGATTAAAAGTATATGCAAATACGATAAATTAAATCTATATGGGGACACCCGTGGGCACCCGTGGGGGACAACGGGGTGGGGCGGGGATGGGGCGGGTCCGGGAGTAACGGGGGATGGGGCGGGGATGGAGGGAACTTTTTAGACATGGGGCGGGGGGTGGGGGAGTGTACCCCCGCCCCAAACCCGCCCCATTGCCATCCCTACCTAAGAGAGTGTTTGCAAATACTTAAAAAAGTGATTCTCGACTTTTGGCTTAAAAGGCTAAAATTAGTGTTTCCGAATGACTTCTACTTAAATAAACGTTTCTCGACTTTTGGCTTAAAACTGCTCTTTACTTTTACTACTACACAAAAAGCGCATATTTTACCAAACACTGTCACCTTTTACTTTTCGAAAACATTTTTTCTCTCAAGTGCTACTAACTTTTACTACTAATCACTTTTTCCAAAATAATTTCAAAAAGTGTTTTTTTAAGCAAAAACATTTGAAAACATTTTTTAAATCTTCAAAAAAAACCTCTCAAAAAAAAATCCTCTCAAAAAAAAAAATCTTCAAAAAAAGTATTCCACTAATTATTATTATTATAGGGAGTATTCAATTAGTTTTAGTATTACCCAACTACTACTTTAGCAAATACTACGTATTATTGAAGTTAAAAGACTAATTAGCTAGTATTATGCATGTTTTCGTAACTGAAAGTGCATTGATGAAGTATTAAGATAGATATTTAATTGAGACACCAATTTTTCACATGTTTTGGCTCCAAATAGATCCCACCTGAAACAGTGGCGGATCTAGGATTATATTTAATTGGGGGCGGAAAAATTAAAAAATGCATCATAAAAATATAATACTACCTTCATCCGATTCTATATGTTTTCTTTCGGTTTGAAATAGTTATTAATAAAGTGATTGTAAAAATAAAAATTGTAGTTGATCGAGATTTGAGTATAATAAAGTGAAATGTTGTAAATCACATATTTTTATGACGCTTCTTTTGGAATAACAAAATAGGAAAGTAAGACGTAAAAT